GCCACAGCTGCCTGCTCCGCCTCGACGTCTCGCAGTTCGTCCAGGGAATCAGCCTCCAGAGAGTCGGGAGCCCCACCCTGCTGACACCAGCAGTGATTATTGGCTGCCGAGGCAACGTGCAATACTTGATAACTTACTGCAAAAGAAATAAACGGCTCACTTACCTCTGAGCCGTTGGCGGAGATCACTTGATCATTCTCAGGTGGCGTACCGTCTTCCTCCGAGCCTCCCCTCCCGACGGAGACGCTGACGAGGCTCTTGACGGGCTCTAGCTCGAACGAGTTGACCTGCACCTGGGCGTGGCTGTCTGTCTGGCTGACCTGGTCTACTTGTGGGACGCGGGAGCGGCGCACCAGGTCGGCGGCCTCGAACGAGCTCTCGTTCTCCTCCAGAATTGGCGTCTTGATGTTGTGTCGCAGGAGGTCTTTCCTCCGGCGGTAGCGGCGGTAGCGGTGCTGTGAGCGTCGGTACGCCGCCCGCCGCCGCGAACCCCCGTGCCCCTCGCGGTGCTCCTCGCGGTCGCTGTATGCGCCGCTGCCTCCGCCGCGACTCCTGTGCCGCCTCTCATCCAGGTCATCGTCGGACAACGAGGACAACGAGTCGTTGTCGCTACGCACTTCCCTACGGGGCGGACGGAGCAGGTGCAGCGGCTCCGTCTGCGTGGACGAGTCCACGTCTGTCTGCGTGGCGATGGCCGCCGTCTGCAGGTGGCCCGGCGGCAGGCTCTGTGTGTCCTGCAGGTCAAGAGCCGCCAGGATCCTCTGGCGCGCCTCAGCGTTGCGGCGGCCCTCCTCGGCCAGGAAGCGCTGCAGCAGCGAGTCCCGGCGCGCCGCACCCGGCTGCATCGCTTGCGACTCCAAGTACTGCTGCACGAGCGAGGTCTGGCTCAGGTGCAGCGAGCCCAGCCCGGCGCCGAGCCCCGTGCCCAGCCCCGCCACCTGCCCCAGCAGCATGTCGTGGTAGCTGCTGTTGAGGCCGTCTGACGCCTGATGCTCCTGGTCCTCCATGAAGCGCCGCATGATGATCTCCTTGCCGTGCTGCTGCTGCTGCTGCAACTGCTGCGGTTGCTGCTGGAGGTGGACACTGTCCTCGACCTGGGTGTAGGGCCGCAGCTCACCAGGCTGCTGCATGTGCTCCTCACCCGCGTCACCACCCCCGCCGCCGCCGCCGCCACCGCCGCCACCACCGCCACCACCCTGGGTGACGAGGCGGAGTATCTCGGCTCCACCCTCCCTCAGGAACAGTGGCTGGCGTGCCGCTCGGCTGTCAAAAAGAGGGTTGCATGATAATATTCTTCTACAATAATTCTTCTTTGCAAAACATGGGTATGGGACGAGTAAACTCACCCGTTGTAGTCCTCGTCGTCGGCGCGGTCCGAGCCCCTGTCGCGCTCGTGGCGCCGCAGCGAGTCCGTGTCCAAGTCGTCGGCGGGATGTCCCGGGAGGTGGTGCGCCGGGTGTCCGCGGCCGGGGCTGACTCTCGAGCGCGCCGGTGACGGCGAGGTCTGGTGGGCACGCGCGGGATGGGCCACCAGAATGCGCGCCGGGTCCAGGACTCGATACTCGCCACCCTCCACGTCCTCCACGTACAGTGCCTGGTGGTTCTGCAGCGCGGCCGCGTCCAGCGTCATCATCTGCCGGGGGTCAAGCACGCCGTTGGAGGCCGGAGCTACTGGCGGTGACAGACAGAAAGGGACAGGGGCTCACCTTGATGGGCTGGTGCCGCAGAGAGTGCGGCGAGTTGGGTCCGGAGCCCCGCACGGAGCCTCTTAAGGAGCCCCTGAGCGAACCATGGAGCGACGCGGGCTCCAGCACCAGACGCGGCGCCGGCACGGACGACTCGACGGGCCCGCTCCGGCCCCCGCCCCCGCCCCCAGCCCTGCTGCCACTGGCGCTCCACGCCTCCTGGCGACGGCTCACATACCCGGCTGCTGACATCAAAGCCTAGTTCACAAACTCGCAAGAAAACCGCAGAGAGTAAAGAAGGCGCCAACGCGCACATGACTATGATTTTTAGAATCAGTTTGAAATTGAATAATAACTCAAAAGAGAAAGCCACAAACAACGGGCAAAATATAAATGAAATTAGAACATTTCGATTTTTGCATATGATGTCTCACTCACCTTGCACGCCCTTCTCCGCGGCCGGCACCTGCTCGTGCACCACCAAGTGGACATCCTCGGCCGATTGGACGCGGGAGCCTTTCCTCCTGCGGGACAAGAAATGCGTCACTGACGCCAGTTCGGCGCCATTCGGCGTGGCGCCCAAGTTCACCGCTCGCCCGCTAGGTGGCGTGCGGCCCCCGAGCCACCCTCGCCCCGCTCCCACCTGTGGCCGATGAAGTAGGGGCAGCCATGGCAGAAGCAGCAGAGGAGCGCGGCCAGCAGCGCGAGGGCGAACAAGATCGCGAAGAAGATGAG